AAATAAATGAATAAATTGATAAATAAGTGAAGGAATAATTGAATACTACTCAATTTTGTGTTGAAGGGTTGGACTTTTTGACTAATATTATTTTTTATACTGTCTTTTTTCCTGAATCACTAACTTTCAGGGTCAAGACAAAAAGCATGTATGTGGCATGATCAGCACCTGTGACCACTTTTAGCTATAGAAATATATGCATTTAACATAGGATTTATTATTTTTAAGCTTGTAGTGTACAATACTAGAAATGAAGATTGAAATAAAAAAAACTGCACAACAATAATTTTATTTTTTTCTTAGAGCTGTTATTAGTTTCATAGTTGTTAAAACTGTTTTAAGATTCAATTTGTTTAGAAATTTAGCATATTTCTCCATACAAAGGTGGGTTGAGAGATTGTGAACATTTTCTAGAAAATTATCAACATTTAAAAAAATAAAGTTAATACATGCACAAACAAAAAATCCTCAGAGAGTATATATATATATATATATATATATATATATATATATATATATATATATATATATATATATATATATATATATATATATATATATAAGATTATATTTTGTAATAAGGATTGTATTGAATGGTATTTTTGTTTTGTATTTAACTATGATCATTGATTTTCGCAGCCGTTTCTTTATGCCACTGGTGTGCTTGCCTTTTCAGAACATTAAGTACAGTTTTGTCCTACATGAGGATCAAAGGGTTCGATGTAAAGGCCCTTCGAGCTTTCAGAGTCCTTCGGCCTTTGAGATTAGTATCAAGGGCGCCCAGTAAGTAACTTGCATTTTTACTCCCTAGTTAAAAGTATTATTAGACAGTAGTTTATTTCATAGAGGCGTTTTATTATTTTTCGTTTCCAGTGGAGTAAGTGTGTTTTTGTCAACGATGAAGATCAAGGGGTTTGATGTGAAGGCTCTGCGAGCTTTTAGAGTTCTGAGGCCGCTCAGATTGGTATCTGGGGTCCCCAGTGAGTATAGACTAGAAGTAGTGCATGGTAGATGTTTCTTTTATTCACCTTTTTTCATTATTATTATTATTATCTAAGAGGCATTTTCTTTTGCCTTTCCCTTTTTCTCCTACATTGCCAATTTTTTCTCTTCTGACCACATTCCTCAAGCTGTCCTTCCTTGTTTCTTCTACCCAAGCCCTTGTATTCATACTTGTGGAAGTAACTAGTGCCACAGGTTTACAACATGGTGGCTCATACGACAAGGAAGCTTTTACTGCTTTGACTCTGCAGTGGCCCAAAAGTGGTAAGCCAGGGAAAGAAAAAAACCTTGTGGATTAACAACAGGACTGGTATCCACCCATTTCCAGATTTTGTCAAACAAAAGAAGGGAGTGTTGGTTTTTGACAAGGCTTGAGTCTTTTCATTCAAGATGTCTTTCTGTCTTTTGTCAACTTTAGCAGACGTCATGTCTCAACATTATTTGATCTAGTTGGAAACTGCTGTTCAGATTTTTTTTACTTTTGTTTTCCTTTATCTTTGAGATATCTATCCTCAACAAATGTGAAGAACTTCTGCATATTTTTGCTTGCTTCATTAAAATGTAATGCTTGTGAGTTTTTTATATACAGACATTGTCAGTGTTTGTATATAGTGCTATTACCTGTGTTTGCCAAAATCGCCTTAGTCGTAGAGTGTGTTTTTGTCTATGAGGAAGATAAAATGAGCTGAAAAAAATTTATATTCCATGATTTGTGTTTTCCTAACAGTCAAATTAACTGAGGATATAATATAATATAATAGGAAAAATATGAATTTTTAAATAATTTTCTCTAAACACAAAGGTAAAATGTATATACATTTGCAGTAGAAGTTTAAGAAACCTATCATTTTAAAGCTCTATATTAAACACTTCAATATACAAACATACCCTCAGTTGCTTTGGATTGGTCATACCTAGCTTTGATATCAAAATTGTTTTAAGATTTCAAGAAAATGTCTTTCTTGTTTTATTTTGACTCCTTTATATATATCTTTCTTCAGTTTTTGGTTTGTTGTCTGTATATATGCCAGCCATGCTGGCTAGTTAGTTTTGGATTTCAACTGGTCTGGTCGTAGATTCTGCAGTGCTGCTGTTGATGGCTCTCGTCAAGCTGCAATCTGATAGTCTAGTGATTTTGTACACTCGATGTTATTTGGTGTTAGCTCTGAATGTTTTGGTCTTTTTTTCATTCAATTTTAAATTGGTTTTCTATTTGTCCTGTCCATGGATTGGTTTACTTAAATTTTTTGACTAGTGATGTTCACTTGCAGTCCTTGTGAATTGGTGTCAGCTGTACTTATGTTCTTTTTATGTGCAGACACTAAAGTGCCTGTACATATCCCAGTCACCTGACTTTGTATGTGTTGCCCAAGCTGAGCCTGAGCTGTGCATATTTCTTGTTACCGCAGTGGCTGGAAAGCAGGATTACCACTTCCCTTCAAACTCACAGGGATTATTCTTTGTCCTAAAATGTTGGCCATGTTTAAAATGGGTTTGATCTGATTGTTTCTTATATTTTTTGATAGTTTTTCAATAATTTTGGCCTTTTGGACATGGTGTCATCCAGATGGTAACTATTTAAGCTGAAACTTGCTTTTAGGCTTAAAAAACAGGTTGACTGCAAAAATGGGAATGATCTGATTATTCTTTATGTTTTAAAATCTTTATTATATTGTGTTATATTCCTAATATTTTGGCCTTCCCATTTCCATTTTTTATATCCCTACAACTGGATGACATACATCCTTAATATCATTGGACTTGAATAAATTGAAAAATATGAGGCAAATTCAAACGTGACATAAAATTTGGCTTTGTTTCTCTTTCTTACAACGCAATGCACTTTGATCAGCGTTCTGGCCGGCAACTCCAAAAAACAGAAGAGATATATCTGTGGTTACTATTAAACCTGAATTTGAACCTGAACTTGGCATTTGACTGACTTTTTATGGTGAAGTGCACATATATTACTGTTATTTTGTCAGTCGTCATGTTTAAAATGGTATAGGTTGTCTGTACATATGTCAGCTTTAGCTGGCCTGTTTCGAGTTTTGTTATCATTTCTTTTGTCTTTGCGTTTATTGGTATTATATTTAAAGTGTAGTTTACTTACTGTGAATATATTCATATTCACATGATGTCCTTTCAGCTTTATTATGATTGGTGATTTTTAATTTTTTTTTCTTAAATCTGTATTTCCATGTCAAGTAGTTATCAGTCATTTTCAGAAAAATTTACAGATTAAGGCCAAAGTGTTTTACGCATTGTTAATGTATCTTAAATTAGTGGAGAAGAAATTGTATCATAAGCTTAGAAATAAGTTCAAGTTAATAAATATTTGTTCATAAATTAGATTTTGTAAATTTTTATTTCACTTATCAAGTGACCTGCAGTTACTGAGGATAATAATAATCAATAATTAAATGTATGCAATTTGATATGACTGTCCAGTTTTACAGGATTATTAATGCTAGATTCATGGCAAATGATCACGGAAGTATTGACAGTAAAGTTCTGCCTCATTTCCTAGAACTTAGTTCTTTTGCATTCAAGGCTGGGAGTGGTATTATTATTATTATTTTTCTAAGCATACTCAGACCATTGTGCCATATTTTGTCTGGCAGTAATACCACTGTAGCTGTTCCTGAATAGTTTTGTTTGGCTTAATTACAATATATTATACCACAGAACATGATGAGTTGTTATATGAACCTTTTTTATTTTGGAATTCTCTCTTGCACTGATGTGAAGATCTCATGGTCAAAGAGACCTTAGGGTCAGTGTGATATTGTGCGATGTTCTTGAGTTATGGATAGTTGACAGAGTTTGAAAGAGGAGAAAAGTCTGTGTATGTGACACACTGTAGAATATACTGTTGTCATGTAAGTCAACCACAATCTTTTTCTGGCTGCCAGTGTGGAGTTTGCCTTTCAGAGTGATGCTCTGGATTGAGAAAGTGCCTGGGAGAAATGTTAAAGGTTTGAAATGAGTGTTATGATAACTTTTATAGCTTGTCATTCTTGATTGTAGACAGTTTTACTTGATGACTTTCTTTCTTTGATGAAAAATTATATGTCAGATGCTTTATTTGGTTTGTCCTAAGCTTAATTTCAACTTTAAAACCATGGTCTGTTACAAATAGGAAGGTGGATATATTGGTGTTTCAGGACGATGAATGTCCCACTCAATAGCCTTAACCTTTCCATTCCTTTCTTTCCATTTTGTTATTTTTTGTGATATTTTTCAACCTTTTTGTGATATAGATATGACCACTTAGGTCATTTGGTGGTTCTCTTGGCTGCCTTCACCCCTTTCCTTATTTCTATCCATCTCCTTGTTTTTCACTTGTGACAATTTTTTGTCATAAACTAACCCACATATTTGCAGTTCTCCTTGTTGGAGTATCTAATGGCTGTTCTTTGGCTTATAACTCTGCTTCTTGGAAATGGACTGATGTTTCAAGGTTGTTTGTCTTCTTCTCTTATGCCATTCCCATGTTCTTGCTGGCAAAACAAGGTTTCTGGCATTCGCTTTTCCAGTCCCAGCGTGTTAACTGGCCTTTCTGTTGGGTTTCTTTGACAGGTCGACAAGTTGAAACTTTTCCAAATGGCTTCCATTTTTCAATGCATTTGCACATCTTTCAGCATCTTGTCTTTGAGGCAGAGTTATCAGATTTTATCCTGGCAACAGGTCCTTGCTGTGATGTGATTTGATTTGACCTTTTTTGAAGAAGAAAGAGAGTTTGTAATAATGAAAAATTGATTTTATGGATAATTTTGAGGTGTGAAAAGCTGCCTCCAGCAGATTTGAAAGTTGAAATATTCAGGGATATTTATATCTTTTATCAGAATGGACATTTCATAGTTGAAATCTGTATTTTTTTTTTTTTTTGAAACATGCATAAATAACCAATTGGAATACTTTTGGGTATTTTACAGAGCAAACATGTTTTTAATCAAGCTTTAGTCATTTTCAGAAAGAAGTGAACTCTTGAATAGGTATTTGAACATGTATTTTTAGACCAAAATATCTTTTAGCACTATTAAATGGATCAATTAAAGTTTTATTAACCAAATTAGTAATTTTAGATATGGGTTTCTTAAACTTAAGGCTCTAATGCAGTTTGATATGTAGCCCATACATATGTTTGACTTAGTACTGTATGTAAAGTGAAAAAAAGATCCTCAGCTTCTCATTGCTTATTCACTGACTCAAAACAGATATACTCTATGATGCAAGGTCTTGCTCTAGAAAGAAGATGCAGTTAAGACATTGAAGAGGCCTCCAGGTACACCATCTCCACCATAAAGCCTCCTGACTGTTTATGATGCGGGGAAAATGTTTCTGAGGTTATTTTGTCTTCTTCAAGAGGCTGGTTTCTTTTCAGATTTGACCAAGCTTTGAGCCAACATACAGTTCTTATATTATCAAAGGAGAACAAGGGATATGACTGAAGGGGTGTTTGATAATATGACAGCCCCTGTATTTAATTTTTGTCACTGTCAAATTGATAATTCCTCATATTTGATTTTTGGTGTGTATGCAGTGGTAAATGGTTTTTAGGCCATTTTCTTGCTAGAAATGTTGTTTTTTGTTTTTGTTAGTATGTTTTCATTTGATCTTCCTGTGTTTTCAGGCATGGAGATGGTGCTTAACCACCTCTAAGACTGCACATTTGATAATGAGAACAAACTGATATTTCATATCCCCTTTTATATTTTCAGTACTGCAGTACTGGAGTAAATAGTGGTTAAAACTTTTTTATGGGACATCTAGTGCATTACCCTCATCTTTGCATCATTTTGTTTGATTCCAGGCCTCCAGGTGGTGCTGAACTCCATTATCATGGCCATGGTGCCTTTGTTACACATTGCCATGTTGGTGTGTTTTGTTATCATAATCTACGCCATCGTTGGGCTAGAGCTGTTCTCAGGGAAAATGCATAAGACCTGTTACCACAGTATCACAGGTAAACTGGCATGGAAGACGATATAAGCATTATCATATTTAGGATCCTTTGTGTGAAGAATTTTGTTTTTGGCCAGAGAGTAATACCTCTAGTATTTCTATTGGTATTTTAATGGGGTGAATTGATTGAGTTTAATCTGAATGATAAAGGACTGTTTTGCCAAGTAAGTGAAGACTAAATGCTATGGCAATGTGGTGGTAATTACGTGCAGTGGGAGATCTGATTTTTAGTTAAAGATCATTTTAAATACTGGGAATTTGTGCTGTGCAGTGTTTTATAAGGATGAACAAAACAAAGACAAAAAATTATTATTACAACACTTATGATTATTTTTATAAGGATGAACAAAACAAAGACAAAAAATTATTATTACAACACTTATGATTATTTTTATAAGGATGAACAAAACAAAGACAAAAAATTATAATTATAACACTTATGATTATGTAAAATTGCTTAAATTCTGAAAAAGATTTAGAGAATACTTCCCAAGAAGTGCATTAAAAAAAAAATAATAAAAAGAAATTTCAGAATGTTGTGGAGAAAATGATCAAAGTGGTATATTTTCCAGATGAAATCATGGATGACCCCACCCCTTGCGGTTCTTCTTATATGTGTGATGATGGGTACAACTGTACAGAAAAGCCACAGCCACAGCGCTGGGAGGGACCCAACTCCGGGATCACCAACTTTGACAACATAGGTCTAGCTGTGCTCACAGTCTTTCAGTGTGTTACGATGGAAGGATGGACAACAGTACTTTACTGGGTAATGCTGGGACTCACCCACTCTCTCTCTCTCTCTCTCTCTCTGGGCGTATTCCCAGAGCTTTTAGATCGATCTATCCCCGCGGGGAGTCTCACTAGATTACTGTCAGATAATCTGGCTTAAATGTCCGTCCCGCCTACTTCAAGCTGTAAGGGGGTAATTAACTTTCGTGCCCGCTCGGCTGACGGCTATTTAGTGTGAACCCAAGGGAGTTAGGTCGATCTAAAGTAGATCGATCTAATATCTGGGAATGGGGTCGGTCTCTCTCTCTCTCTCTCTCTCTCTCTCTCTCTCTCTCTCTCTCTCTCTCTCTCTCTCTCTCAAACTTCCATTAATTTACAAAAAATAGTTTTTGCAAAACAACAAGATCAGAGTAAATTTTCACTCTCTTATCTTTCTCATCACCTACAAGGAATGACACTTCATGTCATGTTTGTTTTTGAGAAGAAACCTTGATTAGAAGTATAAACTATTAGTCTCTGTAGAGAAGAATAATGCAAGAAAAGTAAGACATTGGGAACTTAATAATTTTACTAAATGCTCTGTGTTGAATTTTTTCAGATCAATGATGCAGTAGGAAATGAATGGCCGTGGATGTATTTTATAAGTCTCATCATCCTAGGTTCATTCTTTGTACTTAACCTAGTGTTGGGTGTACTCAGTGGGTAAGTGGTTTAGAAATCTCATCATTCCGTTTTCATTTTTTTGTGTTTAACCTAGTGCTGAGTGTACTCAATGGGTAAGTGATTGACAGAAAAGGTATTTTAATGGTTATCTCTCTACAAAAATAATGATAAATAAATGAATTAATAAAAATGAAATAATAAATAGATAAAAATAATGTAAAATTCAAATATTCAAAATTTTTGTCACCAGAAAAAAGAAATCACATAGAAGGATATTTGTAAACCAAACCAATATCTTTTCTTATACAGAGAATTTTCCAAAGAGAGGGAGAAGGCAAAAGCTCGAGGAGATTTTCAAAAATTGCGAGAGAAACAGCAGCTTGAGGAAGATCTGAAAGGTTACTTGGATTGGATAACCCAAGCAGGTCAGTTTTTTTTTTACAATATTTTTACTGCCTTTTGTATTAAGATGATGAAAAGTAAATAATTTCTTAAATAACTTGGCACGTTTATTATACTTCTGCAGAATGACATTTTCACCCATAATCAGTGGGCCCTGATCACATTACTGACTGGTTGATGTAAGGTCAGGAAGTGAGGTTGTCATCTCTAGACAGAAATGTCATGCCTCCCAGGTAATAAAGTCTGTTCAATCTCTTCAAACAGCATTTCTATTTTTAACTAACAAGAGGCAAAGATTGAAAATCCTTTGCTGTCCTGATGTAATTGAGAAAACAGTCGGCGTATCATATATTTTAAAGGATTTTAAGTTTATATTATATAAATGAAATAATTGTTTCCAGAGGACATAGAGGAGGGGGATGAAGATGAGGAGGAGGAGGAGGTAGAGCCCACACCTACCCACAAAGCCAATGAATCCCAGTCTGAGAAAACTGAAGAATTAGGCAGTGGAGAAATGACCCAGAATCTGTCATGGTGGCACAGAAAAAGGTACAGTTAGCAGAAATGGTGAAGTGACAACTTTTTTTTCTGATTGCAGCTATGTACATGAATTGAAGAATGCATACATTTGATTCTTGGTGGAAGGGGGAATGGTAAATTCCCCCCCGAATTTTAGATGTTCATACATTTGTGAAAAGCAAGTGATGCGAGTAGATGATGTGCATTTTAGAAAAATATATAAATTTTTTCAGCCATGTTATTTAAAATTTTTGTTGTAAAAGAAACACTCACTTTAAATATTGTTATTTTTCTTTTTATTGCAGTAAAAGATTACGGACGTGGAACAAACGTTGTAGAAGAACGTGTAGAAAAATTGTCAAGTCCCAAGGTTTCTACTGGATAGTCATAGTCATGGTATTTTTTAACACTTGTGTACTTACAACGGAGCACTACAAGCAGCCAGAATGGTTAGATGAGTTCCAGTGTAAGTAGGATGCTCTGTCTTCATTGAAATTGTGATATTGAAAAGAAAGCTGTTCATGACGGTAGACTTGTGCATGAAATGTAGATGGGGAAACAAGACTAGAATTTTGAAAGATTGATAATTCTGATATGGCAAAATATTTACTGGAATAGAATGAAACAAAATACATTATAGTTCAGAGTGAGTGCAAAATTTGATTTACTTGCAAATCCAGTAGTGTATAAATTAAGCAAAACTTATGTACAAATGATCATTTTCAATTCTCAATTAAATTCAAATTATTCTTAAGTCATTACTACCAGTTCGTATGCAGCTGAAGTAAAACTTTTTAGACAGCCTGGATCAATTTTTTCTAACAGTATTTTAGGATGCCTTATTTTCATCATTTCAGTTATTGGAAACCTGTTCTTTGTGATCTTGTTTGCACTGGAGATGCTCCTCAAAATGTACAGTCTAGGCTTCCAGGGATACTTTGTCTCACTATTCAACCGGTTTGATTGCTTTGTGGTGATATGCAGTATTGTGGAAGTGGTGTTGACCAGCACTAAGGTCATGCCGCCACTGGGAGTCAGTGTGTTACGTTGTGCCAGGTTGCTCAGAGTGTTCAAGGTCACAAGGTCAGTGACAAGGTCATGCCAAGGTCATGTCAGAGACAAAATGTTCATATTTTGATGATACTTGGTTTTAATATGTTGAATGTCCTGCCACAGAAGTTGCTTTAAAAACTTGAGATTTTCCTCAAAAGATTGACTTCATCCTTTTTAATAGCTTAAAAGGGTTAAGATATCATATGAGAAACTAATAGTTGTTGTTTTCATTCTTGATTTAATTAAAAATGTGGAGATATTTATTGTCACAAAACATGCTGTACTAATGCTTCAGGAATTAGTTTAATGACTAAGTTTAAGTTAATGTTGATATAAAGCACTCAACCATAAGTTCATATCTTACTTCTACTAGTGCAGGAATTGTAATTATTAGCAATGGCCATCTCTTGGCAATCTGATGAAATAATACCATTTCAGCACTTGATATTATGATACACCTTTATATTTTTCGACATAAATGTGTATTTCATTCTGTTGTACAGGTATTGGTCCTCCCTCAGCAATTTGGTGGCCTCCTTACTAAACAGTATGCGCTCCATTGCCAGTCTGTTGTTACTGCTCTTCCTGTTTATAGTGATCTTTGCCCTCTTGGGTATGCAGCTGTTTGGGGGCAAGTTCAACTTCACAGATAAATCAAAGCCCAGGAGCAACTTTGATGACTTCTTCCAGTCATTATTAACAGTATTTCAGGTAAAATAGACCAAGGATGGTTCTTCCTTGTGTGTTACTACGTAAAATTGATGAAAACAGAAAAATGTCTTTTGCAGTAGGCAGGAAGAAACAAAAAAACCAAGGTGTATAAGAACCATTTTTCAGTATTATTCACCTGTCTAATATCTTTTTCAAGAATCTGAAACACAGGCTTTTTGTCTTAAGGTACTATATTGAGAAAGGTCTATATTTGATGGTGGGAAATTTTCAGGTTAGCATAATAGGATACACTGAAGAAGAATATTTAAACATCCCTATCTTATGAAAGTTTTTGAGAAAGATTCTGATATGTTAATGAAGTATTCATGGAAGTGCAAAAATGGAATTATTATCATTTTCTTTTCAGTGATGTGGATGACTATAATCTTCAATTTATTTTCACCAATCTCAACATTCTCTTGTCTCTTCCAGATCCTGACAGGTGAAGATTGGAATGAGGTCATGTATGACGGTATCAACTCGTACAAGGGTGTGGCCAGTCCAGGAGTGCTTGTCTGCCTCTACTTTGTTATTCTTTTCATTGTTGGTAACTGTATCCTTTCTCATAAATCATTAGCTAAACTAAGTTTTAAAAAATTTCACTGCTTTTATCAGTTTTATTATTTTTGACTGCCCATTTGACATCTTTGCTACCTTTTTTTCTTATGCATTATGTTACCCTCACAATGTCTATTTTAGGTAATCACAATGAAAGTAAGCCGAAATTAGCTTTTGTAAAATTGGACATTGTACAGTCTAGCAGATATTCAAATATTTATCAACAATTTAATAGTTCTTCAAATGTTTATAAAAGTTTCCTTGATGACACACTAAAGATATCCTGTTGAATGTGTTCTTGGCTATTGCTGTTGATAACTTGGCTGATGCGGAGCAGTTGACAGAGATGGAGAAGGAGAAAGAAGAGGAGAAGGAGAGACAGAGGTCCATTATACGCTCAAAAAGTGGGTCCCCAGAGAGAGAAAAGGAGGTCCAGGTATGACACACACATACATGGTACAGTTATCAGAAAAAAACAGAAAACTTTTTCTCAATGTAAGGGAAAACATATGTGTTACCCTACAGGAAACATTTTGAAACTAGAAAAGCACTCCAAGAGCGCAGACCTCTGCCAAGGCAGCAAAGTCTCTACCCAGTGTCGTTTCACCCCTAAATTTTCATTCTATAATGATTTAGTTTATTATTTTTTTATTATTGATTGATTATTGATTGGTTATTGACCCGGATCACCACCAAAAACTAATCATCTGTTCCTTGGCCCACTTCTGACAGTTCCTGAAAATTTCATCAAAATCTGTCCATAACTTAGTGTTTAGATGTTTGATTATTGATTGATTATTGATCCATATCACCACCAAAATCACTTCTAAGTTAACCCATTTCTGACCTACCCTGAAAATTCCATCGAAATTCATCCATAACTTTTTGAGTTATGTTGATGACAAACAGACAGACAAACAAACAAGCAAACAGGGGTAAAAAAAACCCTCCTTGGCGGAGGTAATAATCAAAGTATCAAACAGACAGCTTGGTATGCAAGATTTAGGTTAGAGAGGTTTGGAATGCACACACACGTTTTAGACTGTTTTTGATTTAGATTTTGAATGTAACTTGCATGATTGATCATATGCTAATTGCTTTCTTAATTTTGAATTTTCCCCGTATCTCTTGTGGTTGCTGTTTGAATAATGTTTCCATGGAATACAAGTGCACACTGTACTGTGAAGTTAGATTTACTGAATCAGCAGTTTCTTTTGTTTAATGTCTGTACATCAGCCAGCTTTACTGTCTAGTTTTCACTGATTTGCTTGATGTGTTGTAATGCTATCATGATGGAAGCATTGTGACTGATGCCTGAGGATGTAACTTTGTTGTGTTGAATTTTAGATTTTTCTTTTTACTTTTTTGTTGTTTATGTAAATCTCAATTGTTGTGATTTGTTGTGATTTCTGTTTGCATTGTGACAATGTTTCAGGGGCCTTGCAGTTGCTGCACTTGTTGTTGGAGCAGAAAGGTGTGATTCTACAATATAACAGTTCTATCAGCTAATACCAATGCTTAGATAATATCAACTAACTTCTCACTAAATTTGGACACATCTGATCTGTCAATTTTTCAAAAAAAAAAAAAATTCTTTTAGTTTTTACCTTAAATGTGATTCATAAATTTTGTACATATTAAAAAGTATTTTTGGGGAAATACTTCAGAGTGAAAAACTTGAAATCAGTTATGGGAAAGGTGAAGTGTTTGAAATTAGTGTGGAATTAATAAACTTTGAATTGTAAAAATCTTCTAATCAAAAGATGGTTGTAACCCAATTTGCATGCACAATATTTTATAATATAGGAAGCTTTTTCTCAAATAGTTATTATTCATTCTATGTAGAGGTTAGTGCACTTTTAACCTTTGCCACTAGAATGAGATTAGTTTAATCCTCTTTTCAGTCTGGCCAGCAATTAGATTTATCAAGGGCTTGAATAGAATAGACTTCAGTAATATAGAGTTAATCATGCATTTTAACAAAAACTATTTGCATGTATCACTTTTCCTTACGTAGTTATTTGGCTTGATCAGTTAAAAATACTAGAACCCAATGCTTAGTTTTTGTTTAATAAGTCAGGGAAATAAAGCAGCTTTCTGCTTTCATTTTTGAAATTTTCTGTATAAGATATAATATGCTGCAGCAATGGTCACGCATGCATGCATGCATCTATGCACAAACGGTGATAACAATTAATAGCAAAATGTGATGTAGCAGTGCATTTTTACTGTGATCTGTCTGATTTTACTGCTGGATTATTCTCAATCCATACCTTATATGAAGCTGGTCTTGCTGCCACCTTCAGGCTCACATTGTCATTCTATTCCATTTGATTTTGAAAGTTGTATAACTTTTGGTTAATTGTGATCTTTCTGTGTGAATTTCTAAGCTTTGATTTGCTTCTTTGATGTGTACATTTTTCAAATTCTTGAAATAACTCCTTTATCAAATATAAGCTTTTGGTAAAGGACCAGGGGCTTTTTTCACAAAATAGTTTTGGCCCAAAAATTTGAATCTAAATTTCTGACTAAAATTTTTGTATACTTCACTTCTGTATGAATTTTTAGTAGTCCTTCTAGATAGAAGAAGTATTGGCCTGAGGCATCATTCATGTTTTTCTTACTATAAAAGAGTCATAATATTTCATTTAATTGGATAACTGTAACTATTGATTTATCTTAGGCCAAAGTACAGTTAAATTTTGGTCTAAAAGTTTAGATTAACTTTGGGCTTAAGATCTTTTGTGCCAAGGCCCCAGGTTAAGTAGATTTGTTCTTAGTAAGTGATTTTCTGGTATTTCTTTGCGTTATCAGGGAGACAACGAGGAGGACGAGGGGGTGGGTTCTGGCGACAATGGGGAGAACGAACCTGGTGACGACAATCAAAACACTGCAAATTACCATGACAGAAGGTAGGAATACTGCCTTGAAGGGATTCTCTCTCTCTCTTTTTTTTTGTACCAGCCTGTGGACAAACATGTGCAAGAGAGAGAGAGAGAGAGAGAGAGAGAGAGAGAGAATGTTGCCTGTATATATCACTCTGTCTTTGGATCACATATTGTTGAGCCATCTCTTTTGTTACTCAAGCAATCCATCTGCCCCTTTATCCACGTTTCTTTCCTGTGTTTCCAGTAGTTTCAAACATGAGAAGAGCCCCAGCAGTATAGCCAGTGAACACAGGGTGCATATAGAGTTAGATGATGACCCAGAGAAGTACAGAGGTGGGAAACCACTACAAGGTAATGGTGGACATGGCAGAGGAAAATGTAGATCTGGTTTTTCCAAAAGACAGTTAACATTTTCTACATTGATATTACTTTAATGAAAAATCGGGTCATGTTGAAATGTTGAAGTTAATGAAGAAGACTGTCAGCCTGGATTGGAAACTTTTGTTTTTATAGTTGAATATATAATAATTAATGATAATTANTACCCACAAAGCCAATGAATCCCAGTCTGAGAAAACTGAAGAATTAGGCAGTGGAGAAATGACCCAGAATCTGTCATGGTGGCACAGAAAAAGGTACAGTTAGCAGAAATGGTGAAGAGACAACTTTTTTTCTGATTGCAGCTATGTACATGAATTGAAGAATGCATACATTTGATTCTTGGTGGAAGGGGGAATCTTAATTTTTTCCCCCTGAATTTTATATGTTCATACGTTTGTGAAAAGCAAGTGATGTGAGTAGATGATGTGCATTTTAGACAAAAATATATAATTTTTCAGCCATGTTATTTAAAATTTTTGTTGTAAAAGAAACACTCACTTTAAATATTGTTATTTTGCATTTTTATTGCAGTAAAAGATTACGGACGTGGAACAAACGCTGTAGAAGAACGTGTAGAAAAATTGTCAAGTCCCAAGGTTTCTACTGGATAGTCATAGTCATGGTATTTTTTAACACTTGTGTACTTACAACGGAGCACTACAAGCAGCCAGAATGGTTAGATGAGTTCCAGTGTAAGTAGGATGCTGTCTTCATTGAAATTGTGATATTAAAAAGAAATATGTCCATAACGGTAGACTTGTGTATGAAATGTAGATGGGAAACAAGACTACAATTTTGAACGAGTGATAATTCTGATATGGCAAAATATTTACTGGAATAGAATGAAACAAAATATGTTATAGTTCAGAGTGAGTGCAAAATTTGATTTACTTGCAAATCCAGTAGTGTATAAATTAAGCAAAATGTTTTATGTACAAATAATCATTTTCAATTCTCAATTAAATTCAATTTATTCTTAAATCATTACTACCAGTTCACATGCAACTGAAGTAAGACTTTTTAGACAGCCTGGACCACTCTTTCCTAACAATATTTTAGGATGCCTTATTTTCATCATTTCAGTTATTGGAAACCTGTTCTTTGTGATCTTGTTTGCACTGGAGATGCTCCTCAAAATGTACAGTCTAGGCTTCCAGGGATACTTTGTCTCACTATTCAACCGGTTTGATTGCTTTGTGGTGATATGCAGTATTGTGGAAGTGGTGTTGACCAGCACTAAGGTCATGCCGCCACTGGGAGTCAGTGTGCTACGTTGTGCCAGGTTGCTCAGAGTGTTCAAGGTCACAAGGTCAGTGACAAGGTCATGCCAAGGTCATGTCAGAGACACATGTTCATTTTTTGATGATACTTTGTTTTAATATGTTGAATGTCCTGCCACAGAAATTGCTTTAAAAACTTGAGATTTTCCCCAAAAGATTGACTTCATCCTTTTTAATAGCTTTAAAGGGTTAAGATATCATATTAGAAACTAATAGTTGTTGTTTGCATACTTGATTTAATTAAAAATGTGGAGATATTTATTGTCACAAAACATCCGGTACTAATGCTTCAGGAATTAGTTTCATGACTATAAGTTTAAGTTAATGTTGATATAAGGCACACAACCCTAAGTTCATACCTTACTTCTGCTAGTGCAGGAATTGTAATTATTAACAATGGCCATCTCTTGGCAATCTTATGAAATAATACCATTTCAGCACTTGATATTATGATAGATTTTGATATTTTTCAACATAAATGTGTATTTCATTCTGTTGTACAGGTATTGGTCCTCCCTCAGCAATTTGGTGGCCTCCTTACTAAACAGTATGCGCTCCATTGCCAGTCTGTTGTTACTGCTCTTCCTGTTTATAGTGATCTTTGCCCTCTTGGGTATGCAGCTGTTTGGGGGCAAGTTCAACTTCACAGATAAATCAAAGCCCAGGAGCAACTTTGATGACTTCTTCCAGTCATTATTAACAGTATTTCAGGTAAAATAGACCTAGGATGGATCTTCCTTGTGTGTTACTACGTAAAATTGATGAAAACAGAAAAATGTCTTTTTGCAGTAGACAGGAAGAAACAAAACAAAAAAAAAAAACCAAGGTGTATAAGAACCATTTTTCAGTATTATTCACCTATCTAATATCTTTTTCAAGAATCTGATACACAGGCTTTTTGTGTTAAGGTAATATATTGAGAAAGGTCTATATTTGATGGTGGGAAATTTTCAGGTTAGCATAATAGGAAACAATGAAGAAGAATATTTAAACATCCCTATCTTTTGAAAGTTTTTGGGAAAGATTCTGATATGTTAATGAAGTCTTCGTGCAAGTGCAAAAATTGAATTATTATCGTTTTTTTTTTCATTGATGTGGATGACTATAATTTTCAATTTATTTTCACCAGTCTCAGCATTCTCCTGTCTCTTCCAGATCCTGACAGGTGAAGATTGGAATGAGGTCATGTATGACGGTATCAACTCGTACAAGGGTGTGGCCAGTCCAGGAGTGCTTGTCTGCCTCTACTTTGTTATTCTTTTCATTGTTGGTAACTGTATCCTTTCTCGTAAATCATTAGCTAAACTAAGTTTTAAAAAATTTCACTGCTTTTATCAGTTTTATTATTTTTGTCTGCCCATTTGACATCTTTGCTACCTTTTTTTCTTATTCATTATGTTACCCTCACAATGTCTATTTTAGGTAATCACAATGAAAGTAAGCCTAAATTAGCTTTCGTAAAATTGGACATTGTATAATCTAGCAGATATTCAAATATTTATCAAAACTTTAATAGTTCTTCAAATGTTTATAAAAGTTTCCTTGATGACACACTAAAGATATCCTGTTGAATGTGTTCTTGGCTATTGCTGTTGATAACTTGGCTGATGCGGAGCAGTTGACAGAGATGGAGAAGGAGAAAGAAGAGGAGAAGGAGAGACAGAGGTCCATTATACGCTCAAAAAGTGGGTCCCCAGAGAGAGAAAAGGAGGTCCAGGTATGACACACACATACATGGTACAGTTATTAGAAAAACACAGAAAACTATTTCTCACTGTAAGGGAAAACGTGTTACTCTGCAGGAAACATTTTAAAACTAGAAAAGCACTCCAAGAGCGCAGACCTCTGCCAAGGCAGCAGTGTCGTTTCACCCCTAAATTTTCATTCTATAATGATTTAGTTTATTATTTTTTTATTATTGATTGATTATTGATTGGTTATTGATCCGGATCACCACCAAAAACTAATCATCTGTTCCTTGGCCCACTTCTGACAGTTCCTGAAAATTTCATCAAAATCTGTCCATAACTTAGTGTTTAGATGTTTGATTATTGATTGATTATTGATCCAGATCACCACCAAAATCACTTCTAAGTTAACCCATTTCTGACCTACCCTGAAAATTCCATCGAAATTCATCTTTAACTTTTTGAGTTATGTTGATGACAAACAGACAGACAAAAAAACAAGCAAACAGGGGTGAAAACATAACCTCCTTGGCAGAGGTAATAATCAAAGTATCAAACAGACAGCTTGGTATGCAAGATTTAGGTTAGAGAGGTTTGGAATGATCACACACGTTTTAGACTGTTTTTGATTTAGATTTTGAATGTAACTTGCATGATTGATCGTATGCTAATTGCTTTCTTAATTTTGATTTCCCCGTATCTCTTGTGGTTGCTGTTTGAATAATGTTTCCATGAAATACAAGTGCACACTGTACTGTGAAGTTAGCTTTATTGAATCAGCAGTTTCTTTTGTTTAATGTCTGTACATCAGCCAGCTTTACTGTCTAGTTTTCACTGATTTGCTTGATGTGTTGTAATGCTATCATGATGGAAGCATTGTGACTGATGCCTGAGGATGTAACTTTGTTGTGTTGAATTTTAGATTTTTCTTTTTACTTTTTTGTTGTTGTTTTTTTTTATATATCTCAATTGTTGTGATTTGTTGTGATTTCTGTTTGCATTGTGACAATGTTTCAGGGGCCTTGCAGTTGCTGCACTTGTTGTTGGAGCAGAAAGGTGTGATTATACAATATAACAGTTCTGTCTACTAATACCGATACTTAGATAATATCAACTAACTTCTCACTAAATTTGGACACATCTGATCTGTCAAAAAAAAAAAAAAAAAAAAAATTCTTTTAGTTTTTACCTTAAATGTGATTCATAAATTTTGTACATATTAAAAAGTATTTTTGGGGAAATACTTCAGAGTGAAAAACTTGAAATCAGTTATGGGAAAAGTGAAGTGTTTGAAATTAGTGTGGAATTAATAAACTTTGAATTGTAAAAATCTTCTAATCAAAAGATGGTTGTAACCCAATTTGCATGCACAATATTTTATAATATAGCGAGCTTTTTCTCAAATAGTGATTATTCATTCTATGTAGAGGTTAGTGCACTCTTAACCTTTGCCACTAGAATGAGATTAGTTTAATCCTCTTTTCAGTCTGGCCAGCAATTAGATTTATCAAGGGCTTGAATAGAATAGACTTCAGTAATATAGAGTTAATCGTGCATTTTAACAAAAACTATTTGCATGTGTTACTTTTCCTTACATAGTTATTTGGCTTGATCAGTTAAAAATACTTGAACCCAATGCTTAGTTTTTGTTTAATAAATAAAGCAGCTTTCTGCTTTCATTTTTGAAATTTTCTGTATAAGATATAATATGCTGCAGCAATGGTCACGCATGCATGCATGCATCTATGCACAAATGGTGATAACAATTAATGGCAAAATGTGATGTAGCAGTGCTTTTTTACTGCGATTTGTCTGATTTTACTGCTGGATTATTCTCAATCCATACCTTACATGAAGCTGGTCTGGCTGCCACCTTCAGTCTCATATTGTCATTCTATTCCATTTGATTTTGAAAGTTGTATAAGTTTTGGTTGTGATCTTACTGTGTGAATTTCTAAGCTTTGATTTGCTTCTTTGATATGTACATTTTTCAAATTCTTGAAATAACTACTTTATCAAATATAAGCTTTTGGTAAAGGACCAGGGGGCTTTTTTTCACAAAATAGTTTTGGCCCAAAAATTTGAATCTAAATTTCTGACTAAAATTTTGGTATACTTTACTTCTTTATGAATTTTTAGTAGTCATTCTAGATAAAAGAAGTATTGGCCTGAGGCATCATTCATGTTTTTCTTATTATAAAAGAGGCATAATATTTCATTTAATTGGATTACTGTAACTATTGATTTATCTTACTCCAAAGTACAGTTAAATTTTGGTCTAAAAGTTTAGAGTAACTTTGGGCTTAAGTTCTTTTGTGCCAAGGCCCCAGGTTAAGTAGATTTGTTCTTAGTAGGTGATTTTCTGGTATTTCTTTGCGTTACCAGGGAGACAACGAGGAGGACGAGGGGGTGGGTTCTGGCGACAACGGCGAGAACGAACCTGGTGACGACAATCAAAACACTGCAAATTACCATGACAGAAGGTAGGAATACTGCCTTGAAGCGATTCTCTCTTTTTTTTTTTGTACCAGCCTTGTGCACAAACATGTGCGAGAGAGAGAGAGAGAGAGAGAGAGAGAGAGAGAATGTTGCCTGTATATATCACTCTGTCTTTGGATCACATATTGTTGAGCCATCTCTTTCGTTTCTCAAGCAATCCATCTGCTGCTTTATCCACATGTGTCTTTCCTGTGTTTCCAGTAGTTTTAAACATGAGAAGAGCCCCAGCAGTATAGCCAGTGAACACAGGGTGCATATAGAGTTAGATGATGACCCAGAGAAGTACAGAGGTGGGAAACCACTACAAGGTAATGGTGGACATGGCAGAGGAAAATGTAGATCTGGTTTTCCAAAAGATAGTTAACATTTTCTACATTGATATTACTTTAATGAAAAATTGGGTCATGTTGAAATGTTGAAGTTAATGAAGAAGACTGTCAGCCTGGATTGGAAACTTTTGTCTTTTATAGTTGATTATATAATAATTAATGATAATTATAGTTTTGATGATGAAGATGGTGACAATAAGAATAAAGATTTATCCAAAACCATTCTCTATGTAAATCTCAGTATTAATACCATGCTCTACATAAACCTCAGTATGCAATAAAAAGATTGAAACTAAAACTAAAGATAAATAAATAAATAAATAAATAAATAAATAAATAAGTACCAACTGAAATGACCAATTATAAGAATATGACAGGGCTAAGGCAGCACAGTCACCTGTCCTATGCTTTGACTTCCCATGTTTCAGCAGGAGACAGGAACCCAGATGAGAGTGGTGATGAGGTAGACGAGGATGAGGAGGATGAACATCATAGCTCCAACGCCACAGCTCGACCAAGAAGAATGTCAGAACTGCACATCCCCGACAAGGTCAAACCCATTCCAAACGCCAGCTCACTCTTCATATTTTCACCCACCAACAAGTGAGTTATGTTAAAGAGATGGGATATGTTAATTGTAAATATATATTTAACCAGGTTCCTAAAAATAATTGTAGACATTATCTGAAACTGGTTGTAAATGTTTTAATTTTCCAATAAACAATGTAGATTGGGATTTTTCTCTGCCTGTATTTGGAGATATTATCATTGTTAATTACTTAACACAGGTTATATGATTCTGGTCCAGTAAATTGTTGTTGCTCTCAGGAATTTTTATTTCAGAATATAACAAAGACCGCAAGAAATTAGGTCAAGAAATTTTTGCAAGATACATGCTTGATAGGAAATGAATGAATAATTGTAATTGGTATTAAAATATGGGAGATTAAATGCAGTTGCTATAGTAGTATTTTTTTTTTTTTGGGGGGGGGGGGGGGGGGGGGGTATTTAGTTCAAGAAGATTACCCATTATGACTGAAGCAAAAATAAGAAAAAGTTACACCACAGTAATAAATATAGCTCCCAATTGCAGTTCCTGTTTGTCCAATCAGAGCAGTGTTTGAGAATAGGGGCACACTTTTAAGGCATCAGATTTTTGTCTTGACTTGGAGATGAATTAGTCTCAATGTTTTGATATTAATGAAAGACATTTTGGCAGGGTGACCATTTTTAAGTGGAACAAGAAAGGGTTTGATCCTCAAACTCAAAACCTTTTTGTCTGGATTGAAAGTTGTAAGCCACAAAATTTGAATGATATAATCCCCTGGAAAGGGTATACCCATCCTGTAAATAGACCAAGATGAAGACAGTTGCTCACCTTTATCTCTAGGTTGAGAATAATCTGCCACAAGATTTGTAACCACTCCTGGTTCTCCAACAGTATTCTGTTCTGTATTCTGGCCAGTAGCATTGCTCTGGCCTGTGAGGACCCCGTGAACCAAAATTCAAAGCGCAACCAAGTGAGTAGCGTGACTGCACACAGAGTTGGCCCAGTGCCGAGCTGCCGTGGAGTGAGCTAATGTGCTGCCTGCCTGTCTGTCTGCTAAAACCAGCCCCCCCACCCCCATTTTTGTCTCCACTTCTGGGCAGTTTGTTGCTCAGATTCTTATGAGTTGTGATGCCAGCTCCTGACTTGTGGTGGTTTTATTAACTTTTATTGTGTTCGGATGTTTTTTCAAAAATTATTTTGTTAAACTTGAACAGTTGTGATTCTAAAACATGTCACATTTTGGACAAATGTTTGAAAAACAATTGAGTTTCTTTTAATATGTTTTATTTTTTTTGAGCAGCTAGGTCTCCCCCAACCTGGGAGCCTAAAGCATTCATAAATAAATTTTGCTGAGTCTGTGATGACATGTTTCAGACACAGACCTGTTTAGGTTTAAGAAAGCAGTCTGAGCGTGAATTCATAGTGCTCCACTGTGCAACAGGGTGATGTTGTTTTGTTGACTTTAGCTGCTTTAATCAGGCTTTTTGGAATGTGACATCTTTTTGCTTCCAGAATAAGAATCTTCTGCCACCAGGTGTGCAATCATTCCTATTTCACCAATATTGTACTCGCATGTATTCTAATAAGTAGTGCTATGTTGGCAGCAGAAGATCCCTTGAATGCAGACTCCGAGAGGAATCAAGTAAGTTACCCCAGGGCCTGGGGGCTTGTTTTCACAAAAGAACTTTAGCCCCAAAAATTGGTCTAAACTTTTAGACCATAAATATTAGCCTAATGTTAGACTATTTTGACCCAGGGTAATTCGGTAGTAGTCCATGTGCATCAGATATTGGTCTTAGAAAATTAATCATGCTTTGGTCTAAAAAGTCGAACTAGAGCTCTTTTGTGGAACTGGTCTCAGAACCCCAGTAAAGATAAAAAACCTGTGAATGATCATTATTGCTCGGTGCAGTCTTGCATATTGGATGTTATATGGGTTCATTTCCCATTAGATTAAGATGTTAGTCTGTTGGTAATAACATCTTAATCTACATATTATGAGTACAGCAACTAAAGTGCTGGCAACCCTATTTCGTTGTTTAAAGTCATGGGTCTTATATATTTCACGTGATTTTTCATAATAAATGTCAGTTTAATAGTTCCCAATTTTTGTCCTGTCATAAGGTGCATTCATATTTTAAATGGGTTGACCCTTCTAGGAGCCGCAAATCACTGACTTCAATTGCCAAATTAATGGCTTGGAACCATAATTTCATGTTGTGATTGTAAAGCCTAAAAGATTAAAAAAATTGAAAGTATTCATTAGCGTCATTTCAAACAGGTTGTGTATATTTTTTACAAAATTGAAATATGTAATTTAGTAATTATTTTAGACTGCATGTGTTTTTAAGTGTTTGTATTGCTCTGGGTTTGACGGCAGAAAGCTTTTCACCCCTGCTTGCATTGACAACTCGAGTCCAGTTTACAAGGACTATCTTTGAATTTTTCTTATGTGAAGTTACGAGAATGATATAGCTACCAACAGTTCCTAGTTTGTGCCTCTTCTAAAATACATCAAATTTTCTATGAATGATTCATGAACTAGCAGTCAAGTTTGAAGCTTCTGGAATACAAGACCATACTTTTGCATGGTTCAGCATCCTTTGTTTAAAAACATACCATGTGTTTAAGACTTTTATATAGCAAAATTATAATTATTATTTCTTAGAAATTTGAACAATTTTCCTATTATCACTCAGTCTGTAACCACTGAGAAAATTCCATTCTGTAAACCCAGTTTTGAGTTCAGAGTTTCAAACTTTTTGTGCCACCAGTGAAATTTAACAATATCCATCAAAAAATGACAAAAGGGGTTATAGGTTGAAATTTAGGGAATGATTTTGGATATGGTTTACTTTGAAAATTCTAAGAAATATAATTTTGCTATAAAGGCCTGACATGCATGTTATGCCTTTAAAAGCTGCAGATAAGCTGGGGAATTGTGTGCATAAATTGGGGCATTTTGCAGTATGCATACCTTGATATGTTTGACTCAGTTGCTTGAGCTGAAACTGTGTCCTATTTTTCTTGGTTTGAAAAGTATGTTGAACTAAGCAAACAAATGCCCTTAGTAGTATTGACTCTGAACTGTGTGGCCCCAAGCCAGTTTCCATGGTAGTCAAGGTAAGGTAAATGAACTAAACATAAAAATCTTAATTTGAGTAGAAAAAAAGTTGTTTCATAAGCAGGGGTAAGAGCTTCTCTTCTTGCAGTCTTTTTTCCAAAAAAAAAAGTATCCTTTGATTACATATTTTGTGCACAAATGTGCATCTATGTTAAATTATTGTCTTAAGACTTACTAAATGGTTATGTATTTTCAAAAACTGTGCCCTCTTTTTTCAGATTTTGAATTATTTTGACTACTTCTTCACATCAGTATTCACAGTTGAAATCATCATCAAGGTGCGTTGTTTTGTCACTTTTCTTTTGTAGACTATCTTAGTAGGATGCATATAGTAAATTATGCTATGCCAACATTCCTGTTTGTTACTGGATAAGCATAATCTGGACATCTAATGAATTCTAAAAAAAAACCTTGTCAGCTATGTCAACTATTGACAAGATATTCTTTAAAAGTGGCATTGATATGTGTGTCTGGGGGTGTCACAGTATCACATCACTTTTCAGTGTGACATTAAAATTGGATCAAGTATCAAATTGTATTCCTGAATCACACATTATTCCTAAATCACATAGTATTTGATTATGGCATTGTATTTTTTCAAATATCACAGTGTATTGTAGTATCACATTTTATTTCATTTCTATTTTGCAGCACAGTAATCTGGCCTGAGAATATTGACCAGCAGGCATGTGTTGAAACGAAGACCAAATGCCTAGTTATGTTATTTAATTGATAATGATACCACATCATATTCAGTCCTCTTAAGACAGAAGTGTTCTGTTTTCAGGTGATTGCCTATGGTTTCTTTGTCCACAAAGGGTCCTACTGCCGAAGCATTTTCAACTTACTGGATCTGCTGGTTGTCTCAGTGTCTCTGATATCCATCTTCCTGGAGTAAGTGCATTGTTTGTGTTATGAAGTTATTTGATGCGTATTGTAAGAAAGCAAAAGAGGGCATTTGCTAATAGAAAAGAGAGAGAAAAAAAGACTTGTGGCAAAGGACAACTGCCATCTTGAAGATGGTTTGGGTTGAACTAGGCCATGGTCTTGGTATGTTTGAGCTTGGTATGTCTCCCAGTAAGATACTCAGTAGTCTCTGTTGTGGTAAAATATTCAAACTTGAGCAGGAGTTTTGAATTAAAAAACGGTACTGCTCTGAGGGGAGAGCTAAATAACAAGAGCACTAGTTTAGAGACTGAAGAGACAGTATACACAGTTCTTAACTTCCTTGCTTTTCTTTTAAACTCTGAAAATTAAAAAAATTCAGCTGCCAGCCAAAACTTATTAACTAGTTTTATTGCCTAATATAATGCTTTGATGCAAATTCATTAATTGCTATTGCTGTTACAGTACTAATGCTAAGCCCCTAACTTGTGTTAACCCTTGAATATTCTAACATCATATGAAGACAACTTAGACCTCATTCCCATACACACCATCAGACTACATGGATCGACCTAGCTCTGTGGGGATTCTTGCTTAGCAGAATCAGCAGAATCGGGTTAATTGTCTGACATGCCATCTTGAGTAGCAAGGAGGTAATTCACTTTTGTGTTGTTTTTAATTACCCCCTTAGCTGCTTGAGAGGCCTTTTATTCAGTTAAGCTGATTACACTTATCAAGAGCCCCTACAGTGTTGGACCAACCCAGGTAGTCTGATATGTCTATGGGAATGCTCCCTTACTGTGGGAGGGGTTGAGTGGGGAGGGGGGGGGGAATCATAGTCATTTCTGCCAAAAGATAAGGGAAGTCATTTTATTCTAAAGACAAAATCCTGATGCTTGGACCCTAAGAGCACATAGAACATGAATGTATTATCTTAAAATCAAAGACACTCAATAAAACTGCAGTACAACTTCTACTTTAGTTGAATCTAGAGGTGCACAAATGAAAACCTTAAGATTTAAACTGCAGTGTGATTGGTTGATATGCTTTGAGTCAGCCATATATTTTGGGCCACAGTTTTAGCCAAATGCTCTAGCATGAAAGTCAAACATTGTGACTCCTTGTGCTCTTAGAGCTGAATTGCTTAATGTTTTATGATACTTCTTTCTTAATTGTTCTTGATTTCATTGTCTTTTGTGATTGGAATCTTCATACTAGTTTCACTTGATTTTTTTCTGTCTAGCTAATAATTATTAATCATTATAATTTCGCCTTTGTCAGGCTCATCTTGCTAATGTGGAAGAAAGAAAACAATCAATTTAATTAAAAAAAACAGTAAATGTGGAAAAATCAAATTTATTGTTTAACTGTATTAACCTCTGTGAAAATAATACACCTTCAAGACTTCAACTGTTCATAACTATTCTGAAACTTACTGATAAACTGGTATATTGATAATTAAGCTGAAATGTTAAGTACTGATTTTCAAAAAATCTACAAGAAAGGCCAACAAGCTGAGCAATTATGTGGTCCTTGATATGTGAACAATGATATTTGTATAAGTTTAAGGAGAGTTGTAGCATGTCTCACCCAAGTTATTAAATTTCTTCTTCAAGAGCAAGATTGAATCCTGCAGTACTGTTCTTGTTTTGTGCTTAATTTTTTATTTAATTTAGCTGCCAGATTGATCTTAATCTCCATGTTTCTGCTCTTACAGTGTATCTGAGGGTACAATTGGGTTAGTATATACAATGTGGCAGAAGAAGCTATACAATGTATCTTCATTATTTATTTACATATGTATTATAAACACATCTGTTTGGTTACCATTGTTGTCAATCCTCTCAAAGATTTTATTGCAAACTCTTTACTGCTGACTCTCGTGATATTTTAGCAAGTAGTTCAAATTGAAAAACATGTCTCTGCAAGACCAAAAGTAATAGAACATAACCACTCTGCCTTCAAAAATATAATGATATAATTTAAATAAAATTATATTATTAACAGTATCCATATATATTTTAATTACCTTGTTTCTGCAAGTCAATTAATTTTATCTGCCCATTATTTTTGAGCTTGCAATAATATCATCTACAACAGTGTAGTAGAAGTTGTAGTTCTCACCAATGTTGATGTGTTGTCATCATGGCAACAGACACTGCTCATTTGCTAGTAGACAGTTGGGAAGGCTGGGCGTGCTTTGCTTTGCTATTTTCTGTCCTCCGCTCTTTAGAGAATAGTGGGAAATTTCTTCGGGTAGCATTTTTTTTCTACACTTATATTTTCAACTTTTTAAAAATTCCTTTTATTATTCTCATAATCACTTTTGCAGTTTTGCACCAAGGCAATTTTTGATAATTGGGTTTGAGTGAGGATATATTTAAGATTTGTATAATTCTTTTTGACTTTACATTATGTAGACCTATTGCTAAACATTAAAAAAAAATGTTCAAGAATATTAGTGAAAATTTTAAGATGTTATTTGATTCGAATGGAACTGTATTTCTTCTTCTTTATTAAGTATCTTGCATCTTGTTCTTTGATATTGATATTTATAATGAAAAAAGATTTGAAAAGAAGATAATGAAATATTACATTACTTTATAGGGGTCGTGAACCATTTCGATGGCCATCAAAATAGAATAAATATAAATATTTAAATCCAGCTGTACAAGCTATTGGTGTCCTGGCAGATTCTAACCCTATTCATTGTCATTGTCAACCCCTTGCTGTTAGCACAATGATGTGACATGTTAATTGTTACTTCTTTTCTCTGATGTCTCCTCCTTCACCAAGGTTTGACTATAGCTGTGCTTGTGATGCTACATCACAGCCAACTACACAAAGTCAAACAGAGATTGAAAACACGTTAGTATGTGTTTGGATGTGAGTCTGTGCTTTGATCAGCTTCACAAAGAATCCAAAGGGGGCTTTTAGGTCTGGTGGTGATGGCTTAAGACTACTCCTATTGTCTCCAGTCACTGAGCATCATCTGAGGCCAGTGTTCTGCATAAGGTAAAGCAGTCAACTTATGCACAGTGGTATATGCACAGTGGTGTATGCACAGTGGTATATGCTCGTATGCAGTGATCTTAACCATCAGGTTGTAATTATGTGTTGTCTAAATTAAGACCACTTACAGCTCTGGTCACCTTTAGATTCTTTGTGAAGCTGGTGTCTGTATATCTGTGGAGTATAAGGCCCAATTCCCATAAACACCATTGGTCTACATGGATCAACCCAACTATGCAGAAATTCTCACTCACTGCAATCAGCCTGACTGAATGACATGCCTCCTCCTGGTTTTAAGGTGAATACAAAAAAGATGGTGGTTATACTAGTACGTTAGAAACAAGAGGAAGTGTTCAATTCAGTTAAGCTGATTGCACTTAGCCAGTCCCCAGACAGTAGGGTTGATCCAGGTAGACCAGTTGTCTATGGGAATGGGTTCTATGACTGTCCATCCAGGTAAAAGTTAGTTATAATCATAGCGTTGGATATCTTGTGGTATTTCAGAGGCATAGGACGTCTAAGTTTCGTTTCATACTCAGATGTGCAAGTTACTAACATAATAATTTTGTTTTGAGATGACACATACCTCTGATTAGAAAGCACCTCTGGAAATGATAAATTTTTATTTATTTAAACCATTATGAGTTGTATACTATTTTGTTTATTTTTTTTTAAATATCTTTTTTTTTTTTTTTTTTTTTTGACAAATGAGGTTGATCACTTTCATTTTATATACAAAAAGTTTTATTATTGCATCTGGGTCCACATTGTACACAATCAAGAGATCTTCGTGAAAGTTTTCTTCAGCCTTTTAGCTTCCTAAGTTGATTTTAGTCTTGGTTTTTCTGATTAATATACTCCCACTTGTTCTTTTATCCAAATGTGTAAAAAAAAAAAAAATATATATATATATATATAT